CAGCAAAAAGCAGCAAAATAAAGCATGGGTTGAAAAATATCAAATGTGCCCTTAGTTTCCATTTTGAAACAGACTCTTCCTGTGTTTAGTGGCACAGGCCAAATTATCATAGCAATAATTTCTAAAATTCAAATAAGGATATTAGAACTCATTAGATATTTTTAACATAGATCAGTAGCTCTCAAGCTTTTATTATTATTATTATTATTATTTTTATTTTATGTGTATGAATGTATTGCCTGCATGTATGTAAGTGCATCCGTGTCATGTAGTGTCCTGGGGGGACTGAAGAGGGCGTTGGATCCCTTAGAAGTCAAGTTAAAAACTCTTGTAAGCTACCATGTGAATGTTGGGAACCAAGCACAGGTCCTCTGCAAGAGCAGCAAGTGCTTGTAACCACCGAACCATTTCTCTAGCCTTCCTTCCCTCCATTTAAAGTTGATATATAAAGTTTGAAAATAAAGCACTAATCTTAAGAAAAAAAAGAACTCATTAGATATTTTTAACATAGATCAGTAGCTCTCAAGCTTTTATTATTATTATTATTATTATTATTATTTTATGTGTATGCATGTATTGACTGCGTGTAGGTAAATGCACCTGTGTTGAGTGCCCGCAGAGGTCAGAAGAGGCTGTCAGATCCCCTGGAACTGGAGTTACAGACAGTTGCTAGCTGCCACATGGGTGTTGGGATTCGAACCTGGGTCTTCTGGAAGAACAACCAGTGTTCTTAACTGCTGAGCCATCTCTCCAGTCCTGCTCTTAAGGTTTTAAACTCGTTGCTTCTTTAGAGTTTCCTTTTCTTTACAGTGCTGGTACGGGAATAAACCCAAACCCTTGAGAAAGCTAGATAAGGATTCTACCAATAAGCTGTATTCGCCTAGCTTTCTGCTTCTTTCCTGTCTGGCTTGAAAGATGACTAGATTTTTCTATCTGTATCTGCATTCAAATTGAGTCAACATCACACATGCTGATCTAGAATGCTCTACTGCAAACTCAGAATGAAAATGAAAATGTCAGCTAATGTATTTGTGTTTTCATGAAAATACTTCTGGTCCTTGCAGACTCCCCAAGCCTGGCAAATAGTAACAAAACCATAATTTTAAGATTATGTATTTTCAAGAAGGTACTCACTACTTTAAAGAATACAATATTCTTCGTTGATAAATGTGTCTTCAAGTAGAATTAGTTGGACATTTTAAGGCTTGTCTTTCCCTGGAGACTTTACAAAAACGGAAAAATCAAAATTGTAAACAAAGCACAAGGACTCCAGCCCAACTAGTGCACTGAGTGGGGTAACCCCACCAGCTACCACTTTATGTACATGCCCCAAACTGTTAGGGGAGCATGCATACAGAATCTACTTCCTGAATCACATAAATCAGCCCTGCACACTTTGTGCTGCCACTTCCAAGAAATAAGATCCCAACAAATGGGGAAATTGGAGACCACTCCAAGCTCTTGGCACATGTGGTTCCCTAACTTCAGTGCTGACCTCTATTTTATGGCCAGAAGTAAAAAGCTACCTCTAAGTCTTGAATACCAACACCTGGAAGCTATTTCAGGTACTCAGAACAGATCTTCTTCAATGTTGCAGGACAGTAAAAATCCTAGTGTGACCAAACACAGTCAGTGTTTGGAAACACTGAAAGGCAGCATTACTTAATGAAGCAATGTAGAATGCAATGCTCTATTTCTATGTATACCATCTACTAAGCCAATGATGGGAGTTGCAATCCTTTAATCCATGGATCCTTGTGAAATAATGTACCTTCCCTTCCTTCCTCCTTTAGTTATTCTTCCTTTGATTCCTTTTTCAAATATTTATAATGCGCCTCTCCTATGAACTAGGCACTATGATACATTATTACTATCTGGCTGCCAATTTTGTTTATTATTAAGATATTCCTAAATAAAAGGAAAGTATGTACTTATAGAAAAAAATAATATCATGATTAAGTATAAAAGAGGCAATGATAACTGCTTGTAACTAATCTCTAGGAGGTAAGTTTTAAAATGTGTATTAGTGTTTTGCCTGCATGTATGTGAGTGTACCAGAGGCAAGCAATGTCTGAGGAGGCCAGAAGGGGCATCAGATCCCCTAGAACTGGAGTTACAGGCAGTTGTTAGCAGCAATATGGATGCTGGAAGCTGAACCAGCGTCTTTTGCAAGAGCAGCCAACGTACTTAACTGCTGAGCCACCTCTCCAGACTCCCTAAGAGGTAATTTTAACAAATTCTCCTAGAGCTTTTCTTGTATTTTTACAGTTGAGATTTATGGATATCAACTTTGTATCCTTGTTGGCTTAGCATTGTATCTATTAACACAACATATATCATAAAAACTATCACAAATAGTTGGTGGTAAATTGCTCAATGCAAAATCTTGCTTGACACCAGATTTCCTTTGGATGCATTGCTTCTTAGAAGTAGAATTTTTACAGGTGGAGAGGAGTATACACATTTTACAACATCTGTTAACATACAAAAAATTATTTTCCCACAGTGTATGAAAACGACATCATGAGATGAGAGCGTTCACATACTCTAGCCAGTAACACAGAAATGGTTATTTATAAGCAGCCTCTGCTGACATGATTGATAGGGAGAGATCCTGTTTTTAATTTTTTTTTTCTTTTTATAATGTGTGGTACTAGAGACAAATCTAGGGTCTCATGCATACTAAGCAAGGGCTATACCACTGTGCTACACCCTAACCCTCTTTTTATCTTTTATTTGGAGAAATGGTTTCTTTTAGTTGAACAGACTGGCCTTGAACTTACTCTGTAGCCCAGGCTAGCCTTGAACGAATGAACTTCCAATCCCAGCCTCCTGAGTAGCTGGGATTATAGACCTTTCTCTCTTTGTATTCCTCCCTCTTCCATTTTCCTCTACTTTCTCCCTCTTTTATGATTAACCTTGAGATTAAATCTTTAAAAATGAAGTTTAAAACTATGTCACAGACTAAAATTCCCTAAGATAAAATCATCTACACTTATGGGTCTTCTTCATTGACTTAGTAAGTGGAAAATAGACCGAGTCATTCAAAATGACTGTATCAGGGTTCTTAGTGGTAAACACTGAAATCATTTACACCTGCCCTAATCAGGAAAGTACCAGAAGGTCAGCAAGCAGCACACCAAAGAGGCCTGAACCTGGGCCACTGGAGTCAGAATAAGCCCCCAGTCAGACAGCCCACCAACACCCCCTACACTGCCTGTGGAAGATAATACCATCTGTCACCTGTGCTATTGTCTCAGGATACAAATTCCAGTCAAGGTAATGGCAGTATTTTTAAATATCTCTTCTTCAGTAACAAAATCTTGGTTCAAAGGCAGCTTGGAACCTCTGATTGATTCAACTTAAGTCACATGACAGTGTTCTGGCTTTCAGGGTCAAGGACCTGAATATTGGGTCGTTTTTACATTTATGAATTTTTTTACATTTATTTAGTTATTTATGTGTGTGTTTGCATGTGTGCACACTTGTGCATGTGTGTGTCTGTGTGCACACAAATGTACAAATGTGCATACCATAGTCACATGCCACCCTAATCAGCTTTTAAATGGGAATTTGAATGTTGGGCAGTAACAGTCAATATCAGTCACCACTATGAGGAATTTAATGTCTCCTACATTTTAGAATTATGATCAGTCTTCTCTATTACCATTGAAATGTAGATTAGTAGATAATGGGATTATGCAGTTCAGAACTTCAAACTCAAATATCTACCAGTTCTTTGAATGTCAGTGAGGTGCTAGTGTATGGGCAGCCCCCCACCACAGAAAACTGAGTCTAAAGGGGACACCTGCTACTCAGCTCTAGCCAAGGGTCATACACCTTACAACTTTTCAAGAAACATCCAAACTGAATTTTAGGGAGCTAGGGAATGTAGCTTAGGGGAAGAACTTATCCTTAGCACTCATGAAGCTCTGGTTTGATTCTTACACACTTACACACACACGCACACACATACGCACTTGAATTTTTGTGAAATTTCCTGGTTTTGATGTTTGGAATCAAAATCGAAATCAGAAAAACGCCACGATTTCCTCTTAAAACTCAAGGCTTCAGGCTGCCTCCAACAGTGAAGACTGATGATGCCTTAGAACCGAAGTGCTTGAAGGTGGAAGAGCCAGGACTCAAGTTTGGTCTGCACAGGTGGAATCAAAGAAGCCAGCGCGCCTCCCGGACCGTTTTTTTCTCCTACTTGGAATTGGCCTCCCACCCAGGCTGAAGAGAAGATCCTAAATCTCATCGTGCCAGCAGTGTTGCGAAAATGTTTGCACACTCAATAGAACCAGCTTTTGATGTCAAATCACAGCGCTGTTTTTCTTTTTCCTCTCTCCTGTCTCTCCCCCTACCTTCCTCTTTTCCTTTTTCTCCTGCCTACCCCCAGATTCTACTACTTTCTAGATGAGTAATCCGAGATAACTTTACTTGTCGATTCATGGGAAAAGTATAAAATGCAGCTTTTAGACACAGGAAATAATGTACTGAGTGCCTGGCACCGTGCCACGGCTCCATTATACACACTGTATGTGTGATAATACTGTAGCAATAGGGAGCTATTTGTATTTAGATGAGGGCGAGGAGGAGAGGTAGTGTTTCACGGTGGGAGTGCCTAGTTGTAAATTTCAAAATGGAATTCCTATATAAGCTGTAACCCTGCTCGGTACCAGTTTCACGGTCAAATCCAGCTGCATCATGGCTTGTGTGCGTAACCCGGCCATTCCAATGCGCCTAGGTGAAACTGAAGATGCCCACGGCGGTCCAGGTGGTCCCACGCTGGGCAAAGAGCTTGCAGGTTTTCATGGGGGTTAATCGCACCCAACCATTTCCCTCTTGCCTTACGCCATCCGCAGTTACCTGCCACCTGGGAGATTTTTCTGCAGCATGCTGGAGGCTGTCGCCACCGAGAAGGGGGCGGAGGCAGAGGCGGAGGCGGCACCCTGGGGCCGGGGCCGGGGAGGCCGTGGCCAGCGGCGCTTCTGTTCTTTTTCCTGGGGTGCTGCAGCGCGGGGAGAGCCGCCGCAGGTTCCCAGGCGGCATGGGTTCTCCGGGGCGCTGACCGCCGGCCCTACGACAGTGCTGCCACCGAGAGGGGGCGGGGAGCGACACCACGGAGCCCAGCGGGGAGGAGGCTGCGAAGATCCCGCTGTCCGGAGCAGAGGACCGGAGGAAGCGCGGCCGTCGCCAATCAGCCGGCGCCTCCCCGCCGGGTTCCGTTGCCACCGCGCCTGGTGTCTTCCAGCACGGCCTCCGCGGCCCGGGCTGCAGCGGCCACCCGGATGCCCGAGCCACACGGCCCACGCGGGGGCAGCCGCCGCAGTCGCCGTCGCCCGCGGAGTCCGGACATCCTGGGCTGCTGGTGAGTAGCCGCGCGCCGGGCGCACTGCCGGGCCTCCTCCTGAGGGCGCGGGGCTCGCTGGGCTGGCCAGGAAGGCGCGTGGAGCCCGCCGCTGGGGTTAGCTTGGTCTGGACACCCGAGGCTGGAAGCTGTGGTTCCTGGCAGCTGGGCCGGCCTGGCGGAGACCTGGAACCCGAGCGCGTGCTTTTCGCGTTCGGACTTGGGGATGCAGCCTTGAGGGTGATGATGTCAGGATTCCGAGAGCCCACTCCTCTGGCTCTCCGTGGGGCTTCACGTGATAGGAGGGAGGGCAGAAGTTTAGGAAAACCCCTTTTTTTTTGGGGGGGGGGGATTCTAGATGTGGCTTTTATGCCATTTAGCGCTATCGAGACATTTTCTTTCACTCGAATAACTTCAGTGTCCACTGTAAGGCCCCAGTGAAAATGCACAAAAAATGGAAGAGAATAAACACAATTTTCTAGAATTCTCAGAAACTACCCAACCTGCTGAGAGCTTAGAGCCCAAAGTACTGTAATTACTGAGGTTTAAAGGAAAAATTCATAAGGACCCAGCAGTTCACAGAACAGTCTGATTCTGAAAAAATTGAAAAAAATTCTCTAGGATTGGTGGAAGGGGGAGGGGCTGGTGTGCGTTCCTGAAATCAGTGTTTGGTAGCAAGGGAAAACAAAGTAAGCCCTGGTGAGCACACTGCTTTCCAAACATCCTGCTGCTCGCTGAACTTAAAACACACTCTTGGCTTTTAAGAGTATTTCCAGAAACAACGTGAATGTTACTAGGATGCTGATTTATGGTCTCAGGATTCAAGCCTAGGTCAAGGTCAACAACACATATTTGTCAAGCAGACAAATTAACATCTGAATGTTTGACTTCCGGTTTCAATTTTTAAAGCGATATATATTTTTTTCCAGGCTTTGTTTCAGTTGGTCATTTTAATGTCTTTCTAATGGATGTTAAACAGAACTTTACAGTGTACTCTGTAACTAGACTCTGGTGGTCTTTTCTAGCTCCACTGTGGTATCTGTGTTCATTTTAAACACAGTTAATGTCTGAGCAGCAGGCTGCTCCGTTGGAACTTCTTTATTAAAGGTAGGAAATGTTATTGGGATCTGAGAGTAACTATGGCTTAAGCTTTAAAGGCAGATTCTAAGCCCTTTACTCATATCCAAGGGGGCTTTGGAGGGAGAAGTGAGGGGCCCCATGTTCTGTGGGTGTCCTCAGCAGGAGAATGGGCTCTGAAGGTGGTCTAGAGATTGGTTACTGAAAGAACTTTAAAAATATTTTATTTATTATTTATATTTTATGTGTATGAGTGTATTGTCTGCATGTATGTAAGTGCACCCATGTAGTGCAATACTGGTGGAGGTCAGAAGAGAGCGTTGGATCCCCTGGAACTGGAGTTATGGACAGTTGTTAGCTGCCAAATGGGTCCTGGGAACCAAACCTGGGTTCTTTCCAGGATGGAGGGGTGGTTGAGAGCATGAGTTCATTTTGTAGGTTACTAGTTGTGTGTCATGGACAAATCACTCACATCTCTGAGGCCTAGTTTCCTCATCTTTCAATTGGGAGTTTAGTTTCTATTTCATAAGCATTGAGGAAGAAGGCATGAATAAATAGGTGTGCGAATAAACAGAGTCTAAGACAAATTAAGAGCTATGTGTGTTTATTGTCATTTTTATTATCTATTTATAGAACAGTCATATATAATAAGTGACTTTTTAAAGTCTTAAAAGTTGAAATACAAAGAGGCCAGATACACTGTTCAGTGCCATAGGCTAGCAGGTGACAGAGCTGGGTGTCAAACCCAGACAGCCTATCTCCATTACCTATCTGCTTTCTTCCCCTGTGTTTATTTTCTCTTCTGTGTCGTGTGCTGCATGCTGGAGACACCAACAACAATGATATGTGCAACTTTGTCTTCCTGAAGTTTCAGGGCTCAGAACAGACTTGCTATCTGCAACTTAGAATTGGTACTCAGATTATTGCCCTTTTTTTGTTGTTGTTTTTTTCTGTTTTGATGTTTTCATATTTTGTAAATGTTTTTCAGTAAACTCATTAAGACGTACTCTAATTTCTATTTTTAAAAATATATACTTTATTGTTTGTAGAGTGTGTGTGTGTGTGTGCGTGTGTCTCAGAGAATGACTTGTGGGATTTGGTGTTCTCCTTCCATCTATGGGTCCTGGGGAAGCACAGGTTATGAGGCTTGGTGGCATGTACTTTTACCCACTGAACATCCCACTGGCTTTAATTTGTGTTTTTACATTTGCTGTAAAATGATAAAATTTTCATTTTTCTGCCTGATGCAGTTGACATATTCTACACATACATCTGCCTTTATACTGTGACTCTTTGCTATATTTAGGGAGGGTAAGCCTCCTTAAGAGAATGCAGCAGGCTCAGTCAGATGTCAGCTGCCAGGGCTCTAAGGACCTCTGCCACCTACCTCTCTCCATGGTCCAGCGTCTCATACACTTTCCATTCCGGAAGTATGGTAAGATGATAGCATTTCTGTTTTTCATTCCACTTGGGCAGAACATTCTGGAGAGTATGAGCAAAGTAAAATTTTGACTTTTTGAAGTGACTATGCATAGTTCTAAGAAGTCAGATTTTAATTATCGATAGGAAGCTTGCTGTGGGGGTGAAGAAAGAAAATTGTCAAATTTTTCCAGATCTTCTGTAGCGTGGACTCTGCTTTCACCAATTTCAATATTTTTATATCATTACATTAATCCTTATAGTTTTTCACACGTCGACAACTAATACTAAGTTTTCTATTTGTTTTTGTTTTGGCCCTAGGACTTAATTCTGGGCCACATATCTATTAAGCACAAACTTAATCACTGAGCTACATGCTTCCAGTCCCAGTATTGTGGGGTTTTGTTTTATTTGCTGTTTTTTGTTTGTTTGTTTGTTTGTTTTGTTTTGTTTGTTTGTTTGTTTTTTGAGACAGGATTTTTCTGTGTTGCTCTAGGTGTCCTGGAAATGTGTAGACTTGGCTGATCTTGAACTCAGAGAGATCTGCCTGCTTCTGCCTCCCAGGTACTAGAATTAAAGGCATGTTCCACCACACCCAGCAATATTATATTTTTGTAACTAGATGAAAGTTTTTCTTGGTCTTGTATAAAGTTTATTGATAAACCATGGATTAGTTTCTTGAAGAGAGCATTTTAAATGTTTTAAAATCCTGTACCCTTTGATTTACTCTTTTTAAGTTATATATTTCATTATGTAACCAAGATTCCATTCCTCCTTAAAAAAATAACTTTTCAATTTCATGAATTTAAACTGGATTATAAATGAGAATTTGAGATTTGGTGAATTTGGTGTTTTGTTTTTTTAAAACATTTGGCATACCGAATGTTTTAATGCACCTCAGTAACTGAACCCAAGATTCAGCAAAAGTTCCTATGAGAGATTTGACTTGGTAATTTGTTGGGTTAATTTGGAAACAGAAGGCCAAGATGACTCATTTTTAACCCTTTCTGGTTCCCTGTGGACTCTGCCTTCCTGTTTTGCATTTGACCATGTTCAGAAGAAGCCCCAGTGTGGGTCTTTTTAGAGCACTATATCTCAAACTCAAATGACTGGAACAGTAATCAACCATGTACCTTTAATTAAAAGCAAAAGGAAAACTACATTCAGTAATGGGATTATGGTTAAATTGATCTTATCTACTCCCCTGTGAATCCATTTACCTGGGACAGTGTATTATTTTGCATCTATCCTATTTCCATCCCTAAAGCTGTGGTGTTTAACACTAGAGCTGTGTATTTCAGTAGCTAAAAAGAAACCTAGAGAACTCTTTGTTAATTGAATGGTGGACTAACTCTAGTTCTTTTTTCTGTTTTGTCTTTAAAAGGTTGGTTTATAAATCATCCACTCCCAATTTCTCTTTATAGCACAAGAGACAAATGGACACAGGAGATGTAATGAGATTGCGAAAGGCCTAGAAAAGGCCTTTCATGCATTGATGGTACAGAGAAACTGTACACTGAATCTGTATAGAACTTAAATATATAAATAAATTTACTTGGAATCAGGTAGAGATGACACTACTTTTCTAATTAGTGAAAAATCAAACTGTGGGTCTTCAGAGAATTACAGCTGTTCATCATAGTATTCTTATGATATGTGTGTGTGTGTGTGTGTGTGTGTGTGTGTGTGTGCAATATTCTTTTGTCAAGTGTGTTATTATTGGGTCTCTATTGCTAACTTTCACCAGTGCTGACTTTACAGACCTTTATTTATGATACTGAATCCCAGTGTATCTGTTTTGTGTCCAGGTTCTAAAAATATTCTGCAGAATGTCTCAAATAACTACATGCCTTATATTCCATTCACTGCCCCTAGTCAGACCTGGGCTACTTCCTTCCGAAGTGGTACATTTGCCTCCTCTCTGGGTCACCACATCCTGTCTTCTCTATAACTTTACTATCAAGGACAGATTATTTCAAGATTGTAAATATATGCCAGATGCCTAATTCAGACAGATCACCTTTTATAGAACTGTGCATTAAATGAGAAGTTAAATGTACTGCAAGAGACACACTGGTTATTTATTTCCCAATTCCAATTTGAGGCAAAAGAAAAGAAGGCCATTTTTGCTTAGTTTAAAAAAAAAAAAAGACTGTCGTTTTCATGTTCCCTACATTTCAGTAAATTACATATGTATCAAAGTTGTTTGTCCAAAGTTGTCTAACCATAAAAGTGTCAGAAAAAAGAAGATAGACATATATTTAAATATCTTACGATTTGTGAATTTGAAGACTTTTTACTAAATTATTTTAGTCAAATTTTGCTTCCCTGATGGAATATCTGAGGTAAACAAAAGGAGGAGAGATTTATTATGGCTCCTGGTTTCAGAGGCTGTTTTTATCCACAGAAAGCTGGCTCCATTGCCTTTTAGAAGCTTTTGAAACAATAAATCAAGACTGATGGTGTGACTGGGTGGTAGAGTGCTTTCCTAGTATGTGGGAGGCTCTGTGTTCATCCTTACTCTT